TGCAATTGAGCGTATTGATGACGCCACTGCACTGTAGCCGCGACAGAGTTAGACTCTGTCTCAGAAAAACAACAACAAACAAAAATAGAACTAATGATCCACTTCATCCAGCTTTTATCAGTTTTATTCGCCTCTTTTGGACCTACCCATTCCCTTTATCCTCAGCCTGTCCCACTTCCCGCCAGAGCCCTGTTCAGAAAGGCACCCACTGCTACGGCCACTCGCTCAGCACAGGGCTGCGACTCCAGGGCCACCCCTCTGCGCCATGTATATCAGCCACTTCCATGAGCTATGATCAACAAGGACACTTCGTGCAAATACCTGGTCAACCAATCTGAGAACTTCTGGTTATGATACTCCAGTATAATGGTTGAGTAGGATTTTAAGAATTACTGTCATTTAGATCCTAAATAATCAGGTAGTCTTCTGACTCCCAGAAATAGACTTAAAACTTTAATAAAATAATGAAGGGTCCAACGGGCATCTCAACCTAGACAACAATGCCAAAGGCCTCTAGATTTCCGTGTTTATCCGGTACTGGGAGCCGAGCAGAAGCACAGTTCACTCCGTCTCTCCCACTTCTGCTTGGCCAGTCCACCCCCCACCTCTGCAGGCCAGTCCGCCCCCCCCCCTCCCCTTCTCTGCAATGCAGAGAAATGCGGCAGCACCCACACCCAAAATCCCCGGTTACGCTAAACGTCTCCTCAAACTGAAGGGGAAGACGACTCCATTTTTAAAAAGCTTCGTATGGGAAATTCTAGATTCATCAGTACTTCATTCCACTTCTAATGACTGCCATTTCCCTAAGCTAAATTCCCTCTGTTGATTACTTGATAAAGTAAAAAAAACATGATCTGATCTCTCCACCTCTAAGAAAAAAGGCTGAAGATGCCAAGTAATGGATACTTTGTAAAAGGCACAACATGTTGTAGCTTTTGGTACATAAGTAAAAGAAAAACTGACCAGTACTACCAAGTCGGAACAATATCGAGTGATTATACATTTGTAAGTGAACTTCTAATGCATTAGAGGTTTAGGGATTTAAGGATGCATGCATAAAGCCCAAACCGTAATAATCCATGAATTTCTCCAATGGGGTAGAGAAAGGTGAGAAAGCAGTGAGTACCCCAGGCCCTCACCAACCGACAGGGCAAGCACAGCCCAACTTGTCATCTAAAACTCCAGCGCCTCACACCAGTCCTCCCATCATTTCCCTCCTGCTCAACCAAGGCTCCCTATCTAATTCTTATTTTTGATTAAGTTTTTTTTCCTATCACTAAATTCTCCCTCTGGACCATAGGGAGGGAAACAAGAAAAAAAAATCAGGAAATACATAAACCCCTTGACAACTTCAGTGGGGGCCGAGGGGTGGGAGACTCCTAGATTAGAGTCGAGGTTACAATGAACACTATTCAAGTGATGGCATTGAATGGCCCTGACGCATTCCCAAAGCTATCCATGTAACAAAACATTGAAAGACTGTGGGGAAGCATCTTTAAGGAAAATCACTGCCGTGCAAAACAACACAAAGAAGCTAACTTAAAAAAAAACCCTAACTTAACTCAAAACCACCCCGGTTTTTGACGGGTCTCATTTTTCACAGAAAGCAAATGTAGGATCTGGCTACCAATTACTGACAACAGCGTGCTCTCAAATACAGATCTCACAGAAGGCAAGTGGTGTGAAACGGACGCGTGTGTCACTTACCGCCTCTATGATGACGGAGTACGGTCCTGGCTGTGAAGACGAAGCCCAGCTTCCTGGCGCCCTTCACCAGAGCAGCCTCGTCTGTCCGTGAGGAGGTGAGGAGACGTTGACAAACACATTGCAACATCAGAATGCTGGTTAGCATCATTGTGCAAATTAGCAAGACCCACTGTGGTGAAGAGGCCTGGCCTTATCTGCACAGGAGTCAGGGTCGGGGTCTAGAAGCCTTACTGTTCCTACCACAGTCCTGACCGGAGCTCCTCCGTCAGGTGGAGCACCAGACCGAGAGCTAACTCACCAGGGCAAGAGTGATCTGTCCCCTGTATTCTTGGTTGGGAGGAAGCGCTCTCTAATTAACCTGATGTCATATCCCACACTTTCTGACTAAAGTGTATCCTCTGAGCAACGAGCAACGTCATAGTTGTACCACCCAGGGATTCCTGAGCCCGGGCGCGAGCTTCGCCAGCAGTGGAAATCCAAGGGGGTGGAGGTGGGGGGCGAAGATGCCAACTCTATCTCCAGCGCGTAACTTGCTAACAGGCAGCCGGCCCAGCCCTCCCTCTGCATGGAAAGCGTGTGAGAGTCAAGAGCCGAGCCCGCTCTGCGGGGCTTGAAACACCTGTAGCCACGCGGCAGGTGGCACGGCCCGGGGCTCCACCCACACCGCCAACTCCGCGTGTGCTGAGAAGGCGTCTCCGGCCGGGCGCTCACCTGGGGAGGAGGCTGGGTAGATGATTGTGTCGCCGTCCCTCTCGGACCACCGTGTGGCACACGCCAGGAGGGTGAGAATCCTGGATGCAACGGCTGAGGGCTCAACGCGGAGGCCGGTAGTGGTCAGCTCCCCACCGCCAACGCGCGCCAGAGCCACCCCCAGCCGCCCTGCCTCACGCCCGCCCGGTCCTTAGCAGGGACGCCTGGTCTCCCGCGCCCGGCCCTTCGTTCCCCAAGGCCTGCCTGCCCTCCCCCCCAGGGCGCCCGCCAGCTGCAGCGGGTCTGCTGCGCTCTGGTCGCCCCGCCAAGCCCATTCCTCCGCTCTGCAGCAAACTGCGCACCGCCACGCGGTCGGAGCGCAGGAGCTGTCCATGCGCTTCCAGCAGCGGGAGCTTGTTCAGGTTCCCAGTTCTGGCTTCCCGCATGTTCTGGAGACCCGTTGGCTGCAGTCCACACTATGGGTCCCAAGGGCCGCGCAAACGGTGATGCTCCAATCCACTGGGAATCACCAAAAACGGGTCCCGGTGTTCCACCCTGCTGTCCACACCTGTCTGTCCTATACTTCAGTGATCTCTTAACCCGTCAGGCAGTGCATCCCTCACCCTTTATTATTAAACGGCGAAACCCAGAATTGCCTGGATATGTATTTAATCAGTTTCCCCTATCCTCCCTAAAAAAAAAAAATCCTATAATTGTCATTGGATTACACAGTGGAAAATGACACATTAAATTGTCTTCCTATTTAAGAATACAATTGTCTCCCTATTTATAAAGATTTCTAAAATTATCAATATAGGACCTGGCATGTATCTTATTATTTTTTTATTTGCTCAAAAATATTTGAGTGACTTCCGAACGTGAAGCACTGTGTGAGGCATTTTATCTACTGCTTTTTATATTATCTTACTGCTATTTATATTTATAGCGGTTTATTGTTGGAGATAAGCAAAACATAGATTTTTGTTATTAATTTAATATCCATTTGGTAACTGACCCCTTACTAGCTCTCTGAGCTGCAGCTGACTCTCCCCTGGTAAGTCTTCCTTTTCCTCCCAATATGTACACTGTTCAGTTCTCGCCTGTCTGCCTGGGTGCCACATTCAAGATGATGTTCAAAGACAGGGTGGTAACAGGCTTCTTTGCCTGGGTTATTTAACGCCAATGTCTTCATGTTACCTTTCAAATAGGCAACTGGCTATAATCTGAGATAGACTTATATTTTCATATTAAGGAATAGCTATGTGCTTGCTATTTTCCACGGAATTTCTTCTTCTTTAGTCCCAAGTGGTGATGGCTTCACACAAAATGTTTAGTTTCTTCCCTGACCTATTAATGTGACTTAAGAGGATTTTATAAGAAGCAAATCACAACTGTTCACATGGCTACTTCTCATCCAGGCCTACATGAAGGAATGCACATTATAGTTCGGTAAAGTCAATAAATAAGCTTGAACTTTACAAGTTCCCCAAAGCCAACATGGCAAAATGGCAAGAAAGTTTACCTAAAAGTACTTTAATTGGTGAACTGAGCATTCAATTCAAGATGCTCTTCCCCTGCATCTGAGAACTATCCAGTCCTGGACATAACTTTGTCCCACAATGAGACAAGAGTAAAGGGTCTTTGATTTTATAGCAATTAATACCTAATAGTAAATGTTTTCTGAGAGTTTTAAACAAGAATTACACACCATTCCATTGAGTTCTATCCGTGAGAGTTAGCCAGAAATCCAAAAAGAAAAAACAAAATTCTAAGGCAATTAATCTACCTTTTTATCTCTTAGGAGAACAGACAAAATTAATCTGAAGCCTACGGAGGTGTGTATGCATGTATGTGTATATATGACACACATATACATGCACATATAAATACACACACATATATCTTCTTAGAAGTTACAGCTTTATTGGATAACATAATATAAAATTTACACATTACAAGGTACTGGCGAAATACATTCACAATGCTGTGTACCTCACTACTATCTGTACCCAAACTTTCATTTCCCAACAGAAACTCGTACTCATTAAACATAATCCCCCATTCTTTCTTCCTCTGCCCCTAGTAACCTCTATTCTGTTTTTCTATGAACCTGCTATTCTAGGTACCTCATATAAATGGAATTACAATATTTTCCTTCACTGCTTAATATGTACAAAATGCTACATATGGTATCTAGAATAAATATTTTCTATTTGTTATTTGATGAACTTGAAATAGCAGAAATTATGTCTAAAATTGTTCTTGCACACAAATAGCCAGCACCAAGTATCTAAATAATACAGCACAAACAAACAATGATTCTTTTGCAGACTCAAGCTCAAGAGTACTAGGCAATGATTCAAAGAAGCTATCTTCTTCTTTGATGAATTCTTGGAATTTCTCCACAGAGTCACTGGTTAGCAATGTAACCAAGGACCATGCACTGTTCTCCAAAATTTTCCATAGGTTGATTCTCTAAAAGCCAAATTCATCTCGGCTATTAGCCACACAAAGCTTAAAACAATCCTGAAAGGAGAGAATGATCGGATCGCCAGGAAAGAGAAACTATAGCACCCCCCTGAGTGAAGATATTCCCTGGAGCAAGTCAGAGGTTTCTTGGGTCAGAATGCTTTAACTTATAGTTCGGTGGGTCCCGAGGAGACAAATTTAGAGTGAACATGTGGAGATCCGATCACCTAAACCGCACATGCCCCTTTCCTTCTCCGCCAGCCAATCCAGCAAAATGAAACAATCTGGTGCATCTAACGGATCTCTCTCTTCCGCTCTCTATTCCCCAACACATCACAGTGGAAAGAATGTAGCCTTCAGAGCCCAATAGATGTGAGTTTGAATCCACTACTCATTTCTTATGAATGGTGACAGCACTCATATCTTAGGGTTGTGAGAAGTAATTAATGAAGCAACATTCAAATTACCAAGCACATGACTGAATAATTGTCATCTTCACACTCACAACTCTACTCCCTCTCTCTATCTTCTCAAATACAACTAATGAGGGCCAAGCACAGTGGCTCATGCCTGTAATCCTAGCACTTTGGGAGGCAGATGTAAGAAGATTGTTTGAGGTCAGGAATTCAAGACCAGCCTAGACAATAGTGAAACCCCATCTCCACAAAAAAAAAAAAAAAAATTAAAAGTTAGCTAGGCATGGTGGTGTGCACCTATAGTCCCAGCTACTCAGGAGGCTGAGGCAGGAGGATCGCTTGAGCCCAGGAGTTTGAGGTTGCAGTGAGCTATGATGAAGCCAACGCACTGTAGCCCAGGCGACAGAGTTAGACTCTGTCTCAGAAAAACAACAACAACAACAAAAATTAGAACTAATGATCCACTTCATCCAGCTTTTATCAGTCTTTATTCGCCTCTTTTGGACCTACCCATTCCCTTTATCCTCAGCCTGTCCCAACTTCCCGCCAGAGCCCTGTTCAGAAAGGCACCCACTGCTACGGCCACCGCTCAGCACCAGGGCTGCGACTCCCAGGGGCCACCCCCTCTGCGCCATGTTATATCAGCCACTTCCATGAGCTATGATCAACAAGGACACTTCGTGCAAATACCTGGTCAACCAATCTGAGAACTTCTGGTTCGATGATACTCCAGTATTAATGGTTGAGCAGGATTTTAAGAATTACTGTCATTTATGAATCTTAAATAATCAGGTAGTCTTTTCCGACTCCCAGAAATACGACCTTAAAACTTTAATAAAATAATGAAGGGTGCCAACGGGGCATCTCACACCTCGACAACAATGCCAATAGGCCTCTAGATTCCTGTGTTTATCCAGTACTGGGAGCCGAGCAGAAGCACAGGTTCACTCTGTCTCTCCCACTTCTGCTTGGCCAGTCCATGCCCCCCCCCACCTCTGCAGGCCAGTCCGCGCCCCCCGCCCCCTCCCCTTCTCTGCAATGCAGAGAAATGCGACAGCACCCACACCACCAAAAATCCCCCGGTTACGGCTAAACGTCTCCTCAAACTGAAGGGGAAGACGACTCCATTTTTAAAAAGCTTCGTAAAGGAAATTCTAGATTCCATCAGTACTTCATTCCACTTCTAATGACTGCACATTTCCCTAAGCTAAATTCCCTCTGTTGATTATTTGAAATAAAGTAAAAATAAACATGATCTGATCTCTCCACTCTCTAAGAAAAAAGGCTGAAGATGCCAAGAAATGGATACTTTGTAAAAGGCACAACATGTTGTAGCTTCTGTACATAAGTAAAAGAAAAAACTGACTGCAGTACTACCAAGTCGGGAATGATATCGAGTGATTATACATTTGTAAGTGAACTTCTAATGCATTAAAGAGGTTTAGGGATTTAAGGAAGCATGCATAAAGCCCCAAACCGTAATAATCCATGAATCTTCTCCAAATTGAGGGGTAGAGAAAGGTGAGAAAAGGCAGTGAGTACCCCCCAGGCCCTCACCAACCAGACAGGGCAAAGCACAGCCCTCCCAACTTGTCATCATGAAAAACTCCAGCGCCTCACACCAGTCCTCCCACCATTTCCCTCCTGCTCAACCCAAGGCTCCCTATCTAATCTTATTTTTTGATGTAAGTTTTTTTTTCCTATCACTAAATTTCTCCCTCTGGACCATAGGGAGGGAAACAAGAAAAAAAAATCAGGAAATACATAAACCCCTTGACAACTTCAGTGGGGCCGAGGGGTGGGGGAGACTCCTAGATTAGAGAGATGGAGGTTACAATGAACACTATTCAAGTGATGGGCATTTGAATGGGCCCTGACTCGTTCCAAAAGCTATCCATGTAACAAAAACATTGAAAGACTGTGGGGAAGCATCTTTAAGAGGGAAAAAATCACTGCCATGCAAAACAACACAAAGAAGCTAACTTAAAAAAAAAAACCCTAACTTAACTCAAAAACCACCCCCGTTTTTGAACGGGTCTCATTTTTCACAGAAAGCAAATGTAGGGATCTGGCTACCAATTACTGACAACAGACATGCTACTTCAAATACAGAATCTTCACAGAAGGCAGGTGGTGTGAAACGGGCACGCGTGTGTCACTTACCGCCTCTATGATGACGGAGTACGGAGTCCTGGCTGTGAAGACGAAGCCCAGCTTCCTGGCGCCCTTCACCAGAGCAGCCTCGTCTGTCCGTGAGGAGTGGAGGAGACGTTGACAAACACATTGCAACCATCAGAATGCTGGTTAGCATCATTGTGCAAATTAGCAAGACCCACTGTGGCTGAAGAGGCCTGGCCTTATCTGCACAGGAGTCAGGGCTCGGGGTCTAGAAGCCCTTACTGTTCCTACCACCTGGGTCCTGACCGGAGCTCCTCCGTCAGGTGGGAGCACCAGACCGAGAGCTAACTCACCAGGGCAAGAGTGATCTGCTCCCCTGCTATTCTTGGTTGGGAGGAAGCGCTCTCTAATTAACCTGAGTCATATCCCCACAACTTTCTGACTAAGTGTATCCTCTGAGCAAGGCAACGTCATAGTTGTACCACCCAGGGATTCCCTGAGCCCGGGCGCAGCTTCGCCAGCAGTGGAAAATCCAAGGGGGTTGGGAGGTGGGGGGGGCGAAGATGCCAACTCTATTCTCCAGCGCGGTAACTTCTGCTGGAACAGGCGAGCCGGCCCAGCCCTCCCTCTGCATGGAAAGCGGTGTGAGAGTCAGGAGAGCCGAGCCCGGCTCTGCGGGGCTTGAAACACCTGTAGCCACACGCGGCAGGTGCACCGCCCCCGGGCTCCCACCCACAACCGCCAACTCCCGCGTGTGCTGAGAAGGCGTCTCCGGCCAGGGCGCTCACCTGGGGAGGAGGCCTGGTAGATGATGTTGTCGCCGTCCCTCTCGGGGACCACCGTGTGGCACACGGCCAGCAGGGTGAGGAACTCCTGGATGCAAGCGGCTGAGGGCTGCAAACGCGAGGCCGGGTTAGTGGTCAGCCTCCCCACCGCCAACGCGCGCCAGAGCCACCCCCCAGCCGCCCCTGCCTCACGCCCGCCACGAGTCCTTAGCAGGGACGCCTGGTCTCCCGCAGCCCGGGCCCCTTCCGTTCCCACGCAAGGCCTGCCCTGCCCTCTCCCCCGCCCAGGGCGGCCCCGCCAGCTGCAGCCGGGTCTGCTGCGCTCTGGTCGCCCCCGCCAAGCCCATCTCCTCCCGCTCTGCACGCAACACTGCGCACCCGCCACGCGGTCGGGAGCGCGCAGGGGAGCTGTCCAGGCGCTTCCAGCATGTTCTGGGAGCTTCCAGCATGTTCTGGGAGCTTCCCGCATGTTCTGGGAGCTTCCCGCATGTTCTGGGAGACCCGTTGCGCTGCAGTCCACACTCATGGGTCCCCAAGGCCGCGCAAACAGGTGATGCTCCAATCCACTGGGAATCACCAAAACACGTGTCCCCGGTGTTTCCACCCTGCTGTCTACACCTGTCTGTCCTTTAACTTCATGATCTCTTAACACCTGTCAGGCAGTGCATCCCTCGCCCATTATTATTGAACAACGACGAAACCCAGAATTGCCCTGGATGTGTATTTAATCAGTTTCTCCTATCCTCCCTAAAAAAAAAAAAAAAAAATCCTATAATTGTCATTGGGATTACACAGTGGAAAAATGACACATTAAAATTGTCTTCCTATTTAAGAATACAATGTCTCCCTATTTATTAAAAGATTCTAAAATCTTCTAAATATAGGACCTGGCATGTATCTTATTATTTTTTTATTTGCTCAAAAAATATTTGAGTGACTTCCGAACGTGAAGCACTGTGTGAGGCATTTTATCTACTGCTTTCTATATTATCGATCAATATTATCATTTTATCTACTGCTTTTTATATTATCTACTGCTATTTATATTTTACAGCGGTTTATTGTTGGGAGATAAGCAAAAACATAGATTTTTATAAATTAATTTAATATCCATTTGTAACTGAGCCCTTACTAGCTCTCTGAGCTTCAGCTGACTCTCCTCCTGGTAAGTTTTCCCTTTTCCTCCCAATATGTACACTTGTTCAGTTCTCGCCTGTCTGCCTGGGCTGCCACGTTAAGAATGACGTTCAAAGACAGGGGTGATAACAGGCTTCTTTGCCCTGGGGTTATTTTAACGCCAATGTCTTCATGTGTACCTTTCAAATAGGCAACTGGCTATAATCTGAGATAGACTTATATTTTCATATTAAGGAAATAGCTATGTGCTTGCTATTTTCCACGGAATTTTCTTCTTTCTTTAGTCCTAAGTGGATGATGGCTTCCACAAAAATGTTTAGTTTCTTCCCTGACCTATTAATGTGACTTAAGAGGAATTTTATAGAAGCAAATCACAACTGTTCACATGGCTACTTCTCATCCAGGCTACATGAAAAGGAAATGCACATTATAGTTCGGTAAAGTCAAATAAATAAGCTTAGAGACTTTACAAGTTCCCCAAAGCCAACGATGCAAAAATGGCAAGAAAGTTTACCTAAAAGTACTTTAATTAGAGAACTGAGCTTCAATTCAAGATTGGCTTCCCCTGCATCTGAGAACTATCCAGTCCTGGACATAACTTTGTCCCACAATGAGACAACAGTAAAGGGTCTTTGATTTTATAGCAATTAAATAAACCTAATAGTAAAATGTTTTCTGAGAGTTATAAACAATAATTATACACACATTCACATTGAGTTTCTATCCAGAGAGTTAGGCCAGACAAAATCCAAAAAGATAAAAACAAAATTCATAAGGCAATTAATCTACCTTTTATTCTCTTAGGAGAAACAGACAAAATCAATCTGAAGCCTACGGAGGTGTGTATGCATGTATGTGTATATATGCACACACATATACATGCACATATAAATACACACACATATATCTTCTTAGAAGTTACAGCTTTTTATTGGGATAACATATAGATGTAATATTTATCATTTTAACCTATTACAAGTGTACAATTCAGTGGCATTAAATACATTCACAATGCTGTGTACCACTCACTACTATCTGTACCCCAAACTTTTTCATTTTCCCCAACAGAAACTCTGTACTCATTAAACAATAACTCCCCATTCTTTCTTCCCTCTGCCCCCTAGTAACCTCTATTCTGTTTTCTCTATGAACCTGCCTATTCTAGGTACCTCATATAAATGGAATCATACTATATTTTTCCTTAACAGCTTTTAATATGTACAAAATGCCACATATTGTATCTAGAAATAAATATTTTCTATTTGTTATTGATGAACTTAAAAATAGCAGAAAATTATGTCTAAAATTGTTTTGCACACAAATAGCAGACACCAAGTATCTAAATAATACACACACAAACAAACAAATGATTTCTTTTTGCAGACTCAAGCTCAAGAGTACTAGGCAGAATGATTCAAAAGAAAACTATCTTCTTCTTTGATGAATCTTTGGAAATTTCTCACACAGAGTCACTGGTTAGCAATGTAACCAAGGGACCACATGCACTGTTCTCCAAAATTTCCATAGGTTGATTCTCTAAAAGCCAAATTCCATCTCAGCTATCAGCCCACACAAAGCTTAAAACAATCCTAAAGGACCCAGAATATCAGGAATGATGACCCAGGAAAAGAAGAAAACTATAGCAGATGGAAGTATTCCCTTGGGAGCAAAGTAAGGGTTTTCTTGGGTCAAATGCTTTAATTATAGTCGATGGTCCCAAGACATAAATTTAGATGAACATGTGGGGCACCCACAGCCTAAACCCTCACATGCCCCTTCCTTCTCCCCAGCCATACTCCAGCAAAATGAACAATCTGGTGATCTAACGGGCCCTGTATTTAAACTGCGTAAAAAACATCCACTGGGTACATTTAATCCAAACCCACATCTTCCCAAAGAAAAATATTGGAGCCAATGGTCTTCATTATTTATAGTGGAGCTAGATGTTAAATGTCAAAGTAGCCAAGATGAAGAATATTCAAAGGCACTGAGGATCCAAGAAAGCTTAAAAAATGGTACACATTGACAAGGAAGCTTTCTCTCTAAAAGATGGGAAGTAAATTCCCAAGTCAATGGCCTCATTATGCTTTTACTGAAAGTGTGAGCATTTAAGATTAAGATTATTAAACTATCCTTAAAAGTCCCTGTGTTTTGATGCTCATGACAATGTCCCCATGTCGGGGCTTCCTCTTCACAAGGGTACACCTGCTCCTGCTCTCACTGGCCTTCCCACTGAAATAAAAGGACATCTGGCTCAGGGTGTTAGACAGTGAGCAGGAAAGGAAGGAAGAAAAAAGATCACCAAATTCTCTAAACAGTGGGATTTCTTCCCAAAATGCTTGCCGTTCACCATGACCCTGGAGGAGGGGTCGGGAGGAAGAGACGGGAAAGGGGAGACAACGGGAGGGACGTCCGTGGTGCTCACATCTCCACTCAAACGTCAGCAGAGGCAGGCTCAAGAAGGGCTTGGAGCGGATGGTCCAAACCCCGTAGAGACCCGCCACACACCAACGTGGGGCCAGCTTTGCAGCGAACACCTGTGAACGCCATAAGTTAGCTGGGCTAAGTATCGAAAGATTTCAAATACTGGGATCCCAGCAGCATGTGGTGGGTCCACAGAGGATCTCCTCTCCAAAGGGGGATTTGCCCCACGCCACTGGGTTTCTACGGCAGCCCGTGTTTAAATCAGTGCAAATACCATTCCGTGCGGGTGGCCACCCTGCCCACAGGCCAGCAGTTATGGTAGCCATGACACCCACCAAGGAGAACAGGATTCCTCCGTCTACACAAAACCAAATCACTTCCTCAGGAAGTCACGTCTTACCGATGCTGCAAAAGCGTACTATGGCTCTTAAAATAATCGTACATCTATTTCCCCAAAGAACAGGAATCCCTCGAGTGTTTTTCATTCATCTCTTCCCCTAGTACCTACAGCGAGGTATTTTACAAATTAGGCCCTTAACCTGTTAGCTCAATGAATGGATAAATAAATGATTCTCTTATGCAAATGCAGATCCAACGGTTTGCTGCTGTTCCTAACCCAACACTGGAATTCCGTGGGACTCCGTCCACCGACCCCATCTCACTCCCTCGGCTACCTGGTCACCGTGGATCCATGCTAGGAAAGCAACCTCAGGAAACCAGACCAGGCACAGTTCCCTGAGCTGCTTCTCCGTCCCCCTGCCACTTTCCCCTTTCCCATTCACCACCCCAAACTTGAACAGACACGTTCAGTCTCCCACCCTCGTGATTACCCGCAACAATTCAGAATGCTATCTGAAAACACTTGTTTCCTCTTTTGGAAAACAAGCCCTCACAGCGCACTTGTTTCTTTGACATCCTTGATGAAAACCACCCTCCTGCAGAGAAGATTTTTTGGAGTTGCCACTCTACTGCTAGGAGAACCTCTACCCTAGGAGCTGGCTCCACCTCCAAGATCGAAATCCGAGAAAGCACCTCTTTGGCATCTTGGTGACAGAGCATGGACTTCAGCAGCATCCTCTGAGTGGTCCTGGACCACTTCCCTGGCCTCCCTCGGGTGCCGAGTCGGAACTGCTGCATCACAGCTCACGGCCGTGGGGGCCTGACACGCTCACACTGCAGAACTGCCGCTGGGAAGGGTTCAGCACCAACAAACGGCTAACGGTTTTAGCAAAACAAATGGGCTTCTGCATTAAAGGAAAAAAGGATTTCCTCACTGAAAACTTAGAAGAAGTTTTAAATATATCCGTCTCTTAACCAAGTTTTAGAAAGATAAAATTTTAACGTTGCTCATGTATTACCTAACTTTAAATCTAGAATTACATTTCAGAAAAAGACTAACCATACTGGATCTAATTTATACTGACTCAACTGGCTGTGAAATGCTTTGATCACTTAATTTTCTAAGTTGGCATTTTTCAGAGTAGCCTTTAATAAATAGCCTTAAATAAAATAACGGTGAATTGATGTGATCCTTCAGTTAATCCTGTTCGCTATAATAGTTGAAGCAGTGTGACACTGTAGTTAGACTTAGTTTAATTAGACTTAGTTTCTAAGCCTTATTTCTATATTTATCTACTGGATAACTCTTGGCCAACTTGATCTTTCTATGCAACTTCCTTTTTACTTCCCAGGGGTAACTCAAATGTTAAAAGAAATATATGTCAACTGTCCAGCACACAGTAAAATGCAATAAACGCTACCTGCTACCATATTTTATTTTTGTTTCCTAAAATCTTCCTAAAGCACCCCTGTAAAAGGATATACAATTACTTTTTTAAACACGTGATCTGTAAGATTCACAACTGTGAAGAAACAGTACTGCAGAAATCTTATAAAGCAACCGAAATTGGAGCCGTTACAGAATTCTGTGATGAGACTCGTCTTGATCTTGGTGTGCTACCTCATGATGTCACCACATATTTAAATTCAGCTTCATACTAATGTATGCGCAGTGTTCACCACAAAACATTTGTTTAAGATCACTTCTCTGAAGTACTTAATGCCATGAAATCGAGACTCTTCCCAGGCTCCAGAATTGCAACTTTCAAGACACCATGCATATATATCAAGAAAAGTGCGCCATAAACTTTCCATCCACTGTTTTAGAAGTAAATGTAGCACTCACATGGTGATCCTCAATGTTCTTCAGCAGCCTGGGATCCTCGAAGTCACATGAGTCGCTGGTGGGGGGAGGTATGCGACTGCAACAAAGAACACAAAGTATCTGTTTGGTTCAAAAGTTCCTATTAAGATAATCCAAATCTGGTAAAGAATTTGCTTTCGAGAAAAACCACACTGAAAATCCTGAGCAGATTTACATTAAACTTTTAAAGACTGGGAAAACCGTGTCTTATTTCAAACCTCAAAACAGAAAATCCTTCACCTTACTATCAATACAATGTTTTGTAAGTTATTATAAATAACAATATTGTTAGGAGGAGAAGAAAGAAACAGAAGCCAAGGTTCGATATCATGACTCCGTCATTTCGGTTCATCCCTGTATGACGCCTACCATGGAAAACGTCTAAGAGTGTCCGCTCAAAGCAGGTAAAACAAGATGAATTACCGTGGGACAAAGAAGCAGGCAAATACGTAGGAGAGAAGAAGGCAAATAATTACAAGGCAGGAAACTTGATGGCTGTGGGCTATCGCACTGAGGAAAACAGGAAGGATCAACTGTATATCCATTTATCTCTATTCCCTCCTGAAATTTTTCTTCGAGACAAAGGCAATGAAAGAGGAGACAACAGCAGAACTTATGTCAGGCTTAACTCCGAGCAGGTGCCATAGTACAGCAGAGAAGACTGCCACCCACAGCTCGCAAAAGGGAACGCCTGCAATGCACGCGGATCCTCCCAGCAGACGCGGTGCAGACGCGGTGCAGGCTGAGAAACGGCAGCCGAGGCACCCGTGAGGCACAGGGAAGGTGGAAGGCAGGACCGGCTCCAGGTCCACGTGAGTAAAAGTAAAAATGTTGAAGTTGGCTGCCTCCAGGGAGTGGGCAGTGAATGGGCAGCAGGAGTTTTAAGCGCAATTCTTTGCGTGTTAAAGGTACAATCACCAATCCTCCGCCTCCACTCAGAGGACAGCCTAGCCTTTGTTAGAAGTCTTATAATCTCCCTCGACTGTTAAAACCACATTCGTCCTTTAAATTTCATTCTGCTGCTTCTTCAAAATAACACACGTGCCACTTTTCTTTACATACAAAAATACGCAGGTGAGAAATGCTAATACAAAATCATTCCACCGAAGTGTCAAGAGCGCTAGAATCTACTTACCAGAAGTCATCCGAGGATGGCTCCCTCGTCAATTCCGGGAAATGACTGTCGGAGACAGGGAAAGCAGAGTGGTCGCAAAACAGGCATCAAAAGACAGACATTCGGATCAAAACGTGAATAAGAAATTTATAATTATTAGATTAGATACACAAATTTATAGGTTCCCTGGGATTTTCCACTAAGTTAATATTTGCAGAAATAATAAGCTATATTTTAATTGCCCAAAGTTTCATTTGGGATCCATTTAGTTTTAAACACATTCAGTAGTAACTGCAGATGTAAATCCATTATAAAAATCCTCTCAAGGCCGGGCACAGTGGCTCACGTCTGTAATCCTCCTGTAATCCCAGCACTCTGGGAGGCCAAGGCGGGCGGGTCGCTCGAGGTCCAGAGTTCAAAACCTGCCTGAGCAAGTGCGAGACCCGTCTCTACTATAAATAGAAAGAAATTAATTGGCCAACTAACACATATAGAAAAAATTAGCCGGGCACAGTGGTGCATGCCTGTATCCCAGCTACTCGGGAGGCTGAGGCAGGAGGATCGCTTGAGCCCAGGAGTTTGAGGTTGCTGTGAGCTAGGATGACGCCACGGCACTCACTCTAGCCTGGGCAACAAAGTAAGACTTTGTCTCAAAAAAAATAAATAAATAAAAATAAAATAAAATAAATAAAAATCTTTTCAAAACATCAAAAAGATATTTGACTAGGAAGCTAAACTTAAGCTTGTTTAGTTGAAAGAAAACAAGGATAACATTTTCAGTAAGTGATAAACACACTTACCCATAGGTTATTCCGGCAATGCTGCACTTCTTGAAGTTCATGATATTGCATGTGAGAGTTCCAGTCTTGTCAGAAAAGAGATATTTTACCTAAATCAAAGAATAGAATAAGATGCATAGACCAATAAATGAAGTCTTTTCTTCTATATTTTTCAAAACCTATATTAAACAGGTAGATTTCCTGAAAGCAAGCAACTTAGTAACAAAAAATATGCTTTATTGCTTAGACCACTTACCAAGCTTTCTCCATAACTAATTCTACAGTCAAGTTGTATGGAAATGTGCAAGGGAAGCTTCAGTAACAGCCCTGGCTCCATCTTAGATACTAAGTGGAAGCGTTAAGTCCTGCCACGAGGCGTCCCACTCCTCAAGGTACTGCCATGGTCTCCTAATTTTACAGATTTAATACGTGAAGTTTTCAACGCACAAAGGGGATATGTAACATCATTCTACATGTAACATTCTGGGAAATCATGCCATGGATTGGTGAGGGAGAGTAATTAACAGAATTGCCTTGAGAGGAAACGGTTTTCTAAAGAGGGGTCTAGACTTGCTGGATACCAGATGTCATCTAGGAATCCCAGAGAACTGGTCCACAGCAATGCTCTCCTGTTCTACAGAGAGGGGATTAATAACATGAATTGCTTACTTGTACTTTTTCCTAATGCTACAATATAAACAAATACACTGGGAATTATTTTTAAAGCAATCAAAGGGCCTTTGAGTCATTAAAGCTCTTTAAGAAATCAAATATTATATCTAAATATGAAATTAGTATATACTAGGGGTAATTAATGCTTTAACTGTAAATAATGCCTTTATATAAGTTTTATATGCAGTTAAGTCTAGGGATACAAAAAAAATGCAGTAGAATCTGCCTTCTAATAAGCAGTTATTCCTGCCTTGTAAAAAAATATATATATATTAAAATATTGGGGGATGGCCAAGATGGCCGACTAGAGACATCACTTGTCCGACCGGCCAGGCTGGACGGTGGGATACTGGGCTGAGGAGAGCGGGGAGCAGCTGCAGCTCTCAGGTGTGGGTCACAGAGAGAGACAACAGAGATGACTGGGGACCCCACAGAGAAAAGCAGCGAAGCTGAGAAAGATGAGAATAGAGATGGAAACACAGTGGTGTAGATCAAACCCAGAGAGGCTTGAAGCCCAGCAAAGGGGTAAGGGGGTCCCCCTCCCCCACCTACATGCCTTTGGTGAACAGTGGGACACAAAGTACACTGAAGAATTTTCCACCTTCCACGGGCCCGGGCATGGCAGCTAATTAGGAATAGTGGAGTGAACCAGTGAGCCCCAGGAATTTAGGTGTCCATAAGGGGCACCCCACAGGAGATTGCCACAAGAGGCTGACTGGGAGCCACAGCCCCTCCCCCACCCACTGCCAGGAAGAGAGCAGTTTGAATCCAGAGGCTCACAGACGCTGCTTCCCTATGGCGGGTGCCTGCCCCAGGCTGAGCCTGCCACAGAGAGCAGGGGTCCCTGCGGGAGCAGCCTGCCTGCTGGCATCTCACAGGACCCTAGGCTGACGGCTCAGATAGGCGGCCAGTCCTGTGCCCCCTAGACACAGGAGCGGCGCAGGAAGGTCTCTGACCCGGACTCAGGTGGTGAGGAAGCATATTTGCATACCATATATCCGATAAAGGGCTAATAACAAGAATCTACAGAAAACTCAAACAAATCAGCAAGAAAAAAAAAATCAAACAACCCCATTAAAAAGTGGGCAAAAGACATGAATAGAAGCTTTTCAAAAGAAGACAGACAAATTGCCAACAAACATGAAAAAATGCTCAATGTCTCTAATTATCAGGGAAATGCAAATTAAAACCACGATGAGATGTCACCTGACTCCAGGGAGAATGGCTTTTATCAAAGAGTCCCAAAACAACAGATGCTGGCGTGGATGCAGAGAGAAAGGAACAGTTATACACTGTTGGTGGGACTGCAAACTAGTCCAGCCTCTATGGAAAACAGTATGGAGATTCCTTGAAAAACTAAAAGGAGATCTACCATTTGATCCAGCAATCCCACTACTGGGTATTTACCCAAAGGAAAAAAAAACATTTTACCAAAAAGACACTTGCACTCAAATGCTTATTGCAGCACGATTCACAATCGCAAAGATGTGGAATCAACCCATCTGCCCATCAATTCATAAGTGGATCAATAAAATGTGGTCTATGCATATCATGGAGTACTACTCAGCCACAAGAAAATGATGAATGAATACCTTTTGCAACAACCTGGATGGAACTGGAGACTATTCTCTTAAGTGAAGTATCACAACAGGGGAAAAACAAACACTGCACATACTCATTATTAAATTGGAACTAACCGATTAGCACTCATGAGCACATACAGAAGCAAAACTCAATTAAAATCAAGCAGATGGGGAGGGGGAGGGAAGGATGGGTGAAATCATACCTAACAGGTACACTGTACACTATGCAGGTGATGGGAACACTTATACTCTGACTCAAGCTGTACAGAAGCAATCTATGTAACCAAAATATTTGTACCCCCATAATATTATGAAATTTAAAAAAATTAAAAAATTACAACAAAATATTAAGAAATGAAAATTTTGTAATAAGGAATTGTCAAGATTTGTTATCACTCTGCCTACTGAATTTTAACTTCTTCTCAAAGTTCCAACTCAAAACTTTTTCCCCATGCAAACTTTCTCCATCTCCCCAATTAGGAGGAATTATTGAAGTATCCTGGGTGCTTCTTAGACATTTTCATTCCTTCAATTATCTGGGTCCAATTCAATGGCCCCTGAGAACAGTTAAATACCAAGGACTGTGCTAAACTGACACAGGCAACCAAAGATTTTGTACAGGGCACACCCACACTCTCAAATGAGCTCAAAAGTCTCCAGAGAATCTCCTGGCAGCTCTCCTGAAAAGAAAGAAAAAGGAAAAAAAAAAAAAAACAGTCTCCAGAGGGAAACAGACACTACATCACTAATCGCCTCCCTCATTTTACTGCACTTGTGTTTGGAAAGACTGTCATGGGAACGCAGAAGGTAGGTAAATTAACCTTGCCTGGAAAACTGGAGAAGGAGTCAAAGAGGCAGCAAATTTAACCTGATTTGTACCAAGAACTCATTGATTCTTACAGGAGTAGGTTTTACCAGACAGATAAGGGAAATGACAAAGCCATTCCAGAAAGACAGAATGTAAACAGAAGCCGCGAGGAATGAAAAGTCCAAGGTCACTGTACATAGCTCAATGTGACCAGAGCACAGGGGTTGGTAGGAGGATTTATGCTCTATGCTAAGGATGTTCTCTTTAATGACAATTCACCTGACACACTAAGAATTTAAGCGCACATATAGGAACATACACAATTCAAGGAAAGAGAGAAAAATTTGCCATTAACTCTAAGTAGATTTGGACAATTTTATCAAAAGAACAGCATTACCTGCATCTTTTTGTCTAATAAGTTCTGTTTTATTACAAAATTTGGTCTACAAATTTGTGCCTCAACTTTCTGGCAATAAAGCCCAAAAATGCTACATAAAACATCACAGAACTCACTTCATCCTTCGACAAAAGAAAAAAGAAGCAAGCAAGCCTACCGCCCCAGGAGAGGTTTTCTAACCTCAGGTGCGCGAGACATCTCACCTGCATCTTCACAAGGAGACAGCACTGAGGATGGAGGGGTGGTTCTCAGCAACAGCCCTGCGCTGGCAGGGAGGCAGGCCAAGGCCAGACTGGGACAGGCAGTTTGAAATCCCCAACCTGTCACTTTCTGACCAGCTGTTCTTGGATAAATTACTCATTTTCTTATCTATAAAATGAAGATACAGCACCCGCCTCACAGAGTTGTTGGGAAATTTAAATAAGATGCACAAAATGAACTCATAATCCTTAATTGCAATGTGTTCAAAAGAGGTTATCAAGAGGTTATTCCTTACAGGGATTTCCGTTTGAGACACAGATAACAAGGCAAAGCACATGTCAGTCAGTAAAGGCAAGAGGAATTTGGGGCTGAACGTCAAAAGACACTGGTTCCCTGGAATATTCCAGAGACAAACTCTGAACATGTGAGGGACACAAGTCCTTTCACTTAATCCCCGCATGTTTTGTAGGGTTACCCGACATCTGAGTATCTTAACCACTGTTTTCCCATCATTTGCTCCTGATAAACAAGTTTTAAAAGAGTCTAACGTGGGCAGGGCGCAGTGACTCACGCCTGTAATCCTAGCACTCTGGGAGGCCGAGACGGGTGAATTGCTCAAGGTCAGGAGTTCAAAACCAGCCTGAGCAAGTGCAAGACCCTGTCTCTACTAAAAAAAAAAAAAATAGGAAGAAATTAATTGGTCAACTAAAAATATATAGAAAAAATTAGCCGGGCATGATGGCGCATGCCTGTAGTCCCAGCTACCCGGGAGGCTGAGGCAGGAGGATCGCTTGAGCCCAGGAGTTTGAGGTTGCTGTGAGCTAGGCTGATGCCACGGCACTCTAACCCAGGCAACAGAGTGAGACTCTGACTCAAAAAAAATTTAAAGAATACAAGAATCCAAAAATGATGTGGCACTGTATTTTTTAGACTACGGTTTGTACTATATTTTTGGCAGATAACTTCTAGGTGATAAGATTGCACTGTGTCTCAAAAAGCCAGCCAAAACGGAGTGGCATTTGTATCCCATAATACTTTCAAATACTACGTAACTCTTCAGATGTCATTCCGCGTCCAGGGAGAAGTGTTTTTGCAAAAGCTCTCCGTGCATTAGTGCAGGGGGAGAGTGAGGCGTGAGCAGGCGTGAGGCATGGAAAAGACGGGATGCTGTGTAAGAAGACAATGTAACAATAACAAGATCAGGTGACCCCAAGTGTCATAAGAAACACAACAGAAACAACACAAGGCGCCTTACACGACACCGTGGACTTTGGGCGCCACCGCACAGCCGGCCCTAACCACGTACGGTGAAAAACTGCTCCGCCTGCCGGCAGGAAGGAGACACCATCCCCATCAGTCGAGAAAAAAGAGGAAGAGACAACGTCAAGGAGGAGGAGAGGCCAGACAGGAGAAAAAGGAAGACAGAGAAACCCAGGGCAGTGATCCGCTCGGACGCATGCCGCTCTCACCGCTCAAGAGTGCACTTTCAATAAACTCTCTCTCTCTCTGCCTGCGACACGCAGTCTTTGTCTTTTGCTCTCGTTCTTCCATCTCGAGAACACAAGAGCCCAGGGATGTGGGGTACAGCGGTGGCACGGGGTTCTCCTGCTAACACTCCTGTCACCATTACCAAGGTTCCCGAAGAGGGTCTCACCTGCCCGAGCTCTTCATTAAGGTTTGACGTCCTGGCCATTGCAGGAGTGTCATTTCCTAGGTAGTACATATCCGTGTCCTGAGAGAGAGAGAGAGAGAGAGAGAGAGAGAGAACACACATTTCAGAAAACAGGTGCCATTAGTCCTTCATTCCAATTAGCACAGAAAAGAAGCTAAGCATGGATAAAACCCTTCCGTTTTCATTGAAATGCTAGTTTTAAATTTTGGGGTAGAAATACAGTGTCTATTACAACAGAGAAATTATGTGGAACAAGCGGGAAACATGGTATTTAATACACAGATGATTTGGTTTCGAGGTGATCATGTGACGACCTAGTCTAGCTTATGACTCTGAGCTCGGTTAGTAACCTCGTTTACGGGATTTGCCGCGGAGATCAAGTACAAGTGCACACGAAAGCACCTGAGCTGCACCCCCTGGCTGCTGAAGTCCGGTGCTTACGGGCCACGGCAGTCCCTTGAAAAGTCTCACCTCTACCTGCATAAAAGCAAATCCCAGTTTGCTGCCACGATGAATTTTGGTACAGAGCGGACAGGACGGTAAGCACACCCAGGGGGCCCTTTCTTCAGCACTAACCAGGCTTCAGCAGTGTCAGCAGCAGGTGCAGCCCGATGACAAGCACCTGCTCAGCCTTCTAGTTCCTCTACCTCAGTCTCCACAGCAACCCTTGAAGAGGCACCATCGTCCCCCCACCTCTTAGGGACACCCGCATTGGAGATCGCTTGCCAGTTCTTTGTGTGGCCAGTTTAAACCCCTGGACCTAACGGTAAATGGAAACTTCTTTTCTGGGAGCTCCACTAAATGCTGAAGGCCCCGAGATCGTGTTAGGAAATAGAGGCTAAGCTCTGCCTTGATACTCACCCAGTTTATGAAAAGGGCTTGAGTGTACTTCACAACTTCGAGAGTCACCAGCAGGCTGATGGGAATTAGATTGTTGTATAAGATGATGAATGTCAACAGGTTGTATCCAAAATTATCCGAAGTCGTGTCTGTGGGAGAGAACCAGAGTATTTATACAGCTTCAGTTGCAGACTCCAGTCAGTTTCTTTTAACCTTTTTTTATTTTGGAATTTTTCTAAAAGATGTTCCCAACAAAAGCCTCCTGGCTTGTTTAGAGATTCGAGTTAGAATAGTTATGGAGCATCTGCTATGCGTCCGGAACTGTGAGCACAAGGGATGGTTTCTCAGGGGGGCTGCCGGGGAAGGGAGGGAGCAGACATGAGCGTGCCCCCCAATGTGACCACACAGCAGAACGTCACAGGACATTGCAGCAACCAACATGGGAGGGTTCTTCAGGGGAAGGCAAGGCCACTGAAGGCCGCCCAGAAGAAGAAATGCTTGAGTCACATGCTGAAGAGCAGAGGAGAGGCAGCTGGCTAGAAAGAAGGCAGAAAGGAGGACAGGCATTTGAAATCGTTGTAAGGACTGTCAACAATCTCAGCAAGGCAGGAGTGTATATGGGACATTCCAAAGAGTTGGTAAGGTAGAAAAAAGTGTGAACAAGAGAAGCAGACCAAGAGAGAGAGGCAGGCAAGAAGCCTCGAGCCTCACTAAAGAGAAGAGAAGGAATATCTTCGTGGACCAAGGTCCCCAGGGGCAGAACAAGACCCTTGGGAACAGGATCCAAAGCAGAGGCAGGGGCAGCTCCAACAGGAAGAGGGACCACGAGCAGGGACAGAGGTACAGGGTCTGGGGGTCTCAAAAGGGGGAGTTCTTCCCTTGATGGCCATGATATTCCACTTGAAGGACAAAGTAGTGAGATCCTCTTAATTTAGCAAGAGGGCCAGGGGAGAGGGCTGCAGCCAGCTGAGGGTTTAACTAGGATTAAAGATGCCTGCGAGGGGAGCTGGAATTAGCAAAAAGACAGTGGAAGGCTAGACTGGAGATCAGGGATACATAACGGCTCCAAACCACAGTCAGTGAGTTTTTCCCCAGGAAATTCAGTGACACGCAGAGGCCGTCTGATTTAGATCTAGAACTCTGGAGGGAGGTTGTGACGGAAAGACAGGCTCCGGGGAAGGACAGGGGTGAGAAGGCACACGCTGGTCAGTGCCACCGCCTGTCCACCACCTTCCGTCTCCTCGTCCCCACCGAGCCTTCCATCCTTCCTACCGATGATCGCTTTTGTTCCTGACCCACTGCTTGCGATCTTGTTCTCTCCTACAGAATTAAGGAGTTGCCGAATAGGATCTCTAAGTCCCAGCGGTTACAGATGTCTCTAAGGTACGACACTGCTTAGAAACCGGTATCTATCTGCCAAATCAAGAAAAACTAAAGTAAGTCCTCGAGGATGAAAGTGACACCAGGCGGCAATTACAATCCACATAAAGGAACAAAGGGCACCAGAAAAGATCATTATAAAGGTATGTATAAAAGACAATATAATTATATCTTTTCTATCCTTTCTTCTCAATTTAAAAAAAAAAAAAGCAACTGTAAAAACTTCATTATAAAATCGCACTGTTGGCCTCTCATACAGAGATGTGAAACATGTGACTGTGCAAAGGAGCGAGGAGAACGAAGATGCACGAAGCAAAGAAATGATGCCAGCTGGCAATTCAAACCCAGAAAAAAAAACAAGAGTACAGAAAATGGTAAACAAATAGGGTAACTGGTTTTTTTCCTTTTTTCCTTTAGATTCTTTAAGGGACATAAGGTCGGTAGACAACATAGATAAACACAATCCATGTGTTAACAACAATAACAGCACAAAGCAGGACAGGAAACAACGGAATGATGTTTCCGTATCTGACTGCAACTGAGTATTAATGGGAAGTAGATTTAGATAAACTGCAATCCCTAGTGCAACCAGTAATACTTTAAAAAATAGTCAAGAAATAATCACTCGAGTACAAAACAATCCCCAAATGTGCCCTTCTCCACTTCCTCTAGCCTAGGCGTCCTCAAACTACGGCCCTCGGGCCACATGGGGGTGTTTTTGCCCGTTTGTTTTTTTACTTCAAAATAAGATATGTGCAGTGTGCACAGGAATTTGTCCATAGTTTTTTTTAAACTATAGTCCTGCCCTCCAACGGTCTGAGGGACAGTGAACTGGCCCCCTGTTTAAAAAGTTTGAGGACCCCTGCTCTAACCTCTCAACTGTCCTCGAAGGACTGGAACCACGTGCAGTAGCCCAAGGGAACAGAAGGGCGCATGGCTACCGCAGAAACCTTGCTCAGAAGGACTTTCCTGGGAGGGCCCCCTTCTGCGCCCACCAGCAGCCCGCCAGCACTTACTTATCTTCTTGATGTACCAGTTCTTCCTGCCTTGAGACCCGTTCCAGTACAGGGCTCCCACCGAGCTCACCAAGGCCATGACCAACAGGATGCCGAACAAGACCAGGATCTGCACGTTGGTCACCTTCTCAACATTCGACCGCTTGAGAGGGGCTTTGGTTGAGTTCTGTGCAACAGCATGGAAAGCGAGTAAGGGTCACGGAACAGACTCGGGGCCCAGGGTGGGGAGAAAAGGAGGTACGACAACCATATTGAACAAGTGACAAGTAAAAGGCTTTTTTTTTTTTTTGCAGAATAATCAATGACATTAAAAAATGTACCATGCTTCTAAATCAACAGCTAGTTTTAAAAAAAAAAAAAAAAGACACACTCTACCAGTTTAAAGAACACATTCTGACTCTATATGATTCATTCTGTACTTGCGATATTTACATATGTAGCATGAAATTGACCACTTTGTCTTAGGACATAATAGGTTCTAAATGAGCTAAGTCCAGTTTCAAACAAAATCAGGATGCTGTTAATTCAAAAGAAACTTAAGAGATTCCATACTCTAAAAGCCTACAGAGGACTTTCAACAGCACAGCTCTACAATAAATACACTGAGATGTTTTAAAAGCACATATTTTCCCTCCAGCAGCTCAAAATTTGAGGAAAAAAAAAAAAGACACACACAAACACATACACATCAATAATGCAAAACAGAACATCAACAGGTGACAAAATAAATGGACACACAGTTCAGTTGGAGGACTGTGAGCAAGAAATGAGCAGGCAAAGCCAGGAAGGGTCTCGGGGACAGGAGAGACCCGACCACCCGACCGGCGTCCTGAGTCACAAGCGGGGTGTGGACGGGAAGGAGCAGCAGCAGGAGAGAGCCTCCGTGGGCCTGGCACCTGCTTTCTCCCTGCCGCTGGGGAAACCAACCCTGCCAGAGCCCAGGCCGCCTTAGGAGGCGAGTTCAGAAAGATTCATGAAAGCCGGATTCAGCAATCACCGCACTTCAGGTGGAAAAGTTGGGGCTCGCTTTTCCGGCAGTGGAAAAGTCCATAGAACTGTTTGAACAAGACAGTTACGCACCTGAAGTCATTTTATAAGAAAAATTCCTGAAGGCAGTTGTGGTGGGCAAGGTAACGAACCCCCAGTGACACCCACATCCTAATCCCTGGCCCCTGTGAGTATGTCATTTTCTATAGCAAAAGGGACTGTGCAGATGGGATTAAATTAAGGGCTTTGAGGAGGAGAGGTTATCCTGGATCACCCAAGTGGACCCAATCTAATCACAAGGACCCTCAAAAGGGAGAACTCTGCGTGGTTGTGGTCAGGGGAGAGGTGACTACAGGAAACGATCCAAGAGGTACAGTGCCACTGGCTGTGAAGGTGCGGGAAGGGAACCAGGAGTCCAGGCCAGAAAAGGTAAGGGTCAGATTCCCCTCTGGAGCTGTGGTCCCCACCCCCGGGGCCACAGACTGGTACTGGTCCGTGGCCTGTTAGGAACCGGGCTGCACAGCAGGAGGTGAGCAGTGGACAAGCGTGAGCAAAGCGGCTATAATTCACAGCTGTTCCCCACTGCTGGCATCGCCACGTAAGCTCCGCCACGTAAGCTCCGCCGCGTAAGCTCCGCCTCCTGTCAGATGGGCGGTGGCATTAGAGTCTCCTAGGAGCTCGAGCCCTACTGTAAACTGCACACTTGAGGGGTCTAGGTTGTGCACTCCTGAGATGGTGACGCTAACTCTGGGGAGTGGCTGCAGATACAGATTATCATTAGCAGAGAGGTAAACAATGTAATAATAATAGAAATAAAGTGCACAATAAGTGTAATGCACTTGAATTATCCCAAAACCCCCATCCCCGCTGCCCCCCACCAACCCCCTGGGAAAAATTGTCTTCCATGAAACCAGTCCCCGGTGCCAAAAAGGTTGGGGATCGCTGCTCTAGAGCATGCAGAAAAGAAGAGCCAACATCTTGAGTTTTAGCCCAGTGAGACCCATATCAGATCCACAGACTTGCAACAGAATAACTGTGCTGCTTTAAGCCACTAAGACTTGGAACTGTGTCACAGCAGCCACAGGACATGAACACGGTAATACAGCAGGTGGCTGAAGAAGACATCGAGGAGAGGAAAGCCAGGTGGGAAATAATTATAATCCACTGCTGAAGGTGAAATAATTCCTGGATTAAATTAGCAGCCAGGAACTTCTAATTCAGGCAGAGACTGGCCAGCCTGCCGGTCTCCTTCCATGAATCACAGGGCCCTGGCTTTGCAAAACCCAACACGGATTTGCCAAGTTCGGGTGATCCGCAAGTTTGTGAGGCACTAACTGACCACAAAAATGGTGCCTCGTCCCAAAATTAAGTCAGCACCTTCCTTCACTATTCTCAATGGATCTGATCATTAAAAGGGCAAAGATGAAAATGTCTTCAAAAACAGGGATACAAATAGAGTCACAACAAGAATATAAAATGGAGACAAAAGCAAGAGAGAAGCTAGCAGCACAATGTCCCTGAGACTGTTATCTGGATTCTGTCACCAACCCCGGAAATGCCATCGTGGCCATGGTCTTCTTTGGGGGGTGAGGAAGCCGGGGAACTGTTGTACTGGCTATTTTGAAAAGCTAAGTCCTTTAGACTTGTAAACAATACAGCAGCATTTTTCTTTACTTCTGTTAATATTTTCCCCTTTTTACTTTAATTCTTCAAATTATTTGTCTTTTACAGACTTTAAGAAAAATCCCTCTAGACTCTAAATGTAAATCCATTAGTGAAGGCCAACTTATCATCAACCAAATGCCACATATCAAGGTCAACCGGGGGGGACACGGCCACATCTGTGCTCATAGCCGGAACCAGCAGGCCAGTCCCACCACCGTTTATCCTAACGTTTAGAAACTGAAGATAGTCTTATCATTTTTAATAAACATTCCCTGGATGCACAGGCAGGAAAAAAAAATTACAGTAAACTTCATTTCCAGGACCCCATTAGTTACTGACTTCTGATCTTCTCCAGTGGTTAAATTCTGGCCAGTTAAGAGGATTAAGAAAATGTATCTTTCATCCAACACGAGAATAATGACCCCAAAACTGCAGGCTTCCATGTGCGCACTTTGTGGGAAGCCAGACTACGCCCGCTCACCCCCGTCCCTCCAAACATCTCTGCTTGCGACGGTTGAGTTTTTAACTCTGAATTCCTGCTGGCATTACAAGCTCTCCTGTGCAGTTCTGAAAGAGCACTGCTATTTTGGTGTAATGGAGGTGTAAATAAAAACAGGTCAAAACGTCAGATTTTGAAGCAGCTGAAATCAGACCGAAATCCTACAAATCTTACTCCTTCCTAAGAAAGGAAGCGTCAGAGTAGTGGTGAGAACGCTGACTGTGGAGTTTGACTGCCTGGGTGTGAATCCCTATCTCTTCCCCGTTTGTAAGCTTGGGTTAACTTAGACACCCTGTGCCTCAGTTTCCTCATCTACAAAAGGAGCACAAACTTACCCAGCCATCGTGAGGAATAAAGGAGTTAATATATGTGAATTGCCTGGAACAATGTATGATTTGTTATAATTAATGTTTGCTATAATTAATGTGATAATCTCTCTCTTTCCCATTAAATCAACCAACCAACATAGTAGATATTTTTATATATAACTACACTAAGCATGAAATGAGCGAACCTTGAATGGTCAAGGCATCCAGGAGAGAGTTTTAGAAAAAAAAGGTAGAAGAAGAACTCTAAAGCAATTGAGATTCCTCTCTGTGGTCAAGTAGCACAAGTACACATGAAAAATGTTATTTCACAAACAGGATGGCTGCCGGCTATGTGTGCTACATTATGTTCCTTCTGAAAGCTCATTAGTTTTACTCGTTGTTTCCAAAGGCACAGAGGGTCTAGCGCAGAAGTTTCTGGGGTGTCCCATCATTCTGTACTCGAGCAGTCAACACGCAGTGAGCCTGGCAAAGATGGTTTATCACATCTAGGGGTAAGGAAAAGTGCTTTTCACACGCACGGGATGCAAACCTAGTGCATACTTTGCTCACTGAAGAGATGATGGAAGTGTTTTAAAGTATGAATTAATCAACTCTCATATCTTTGCTACACAGCTGTATTATCAATGTAGGCTCTAGGAAAACAATATGGTATCCTGAAAAAACAGCCAGTGTACAAGAAATCTTGAAGGGTGCTTAAATTTGTAATGTGCACAATCTCTGGCTTCTGCCCAAATCTGAGCTAGCCACTTGTGATCTCTTTGAGCTTCCTACTGCCAGGGTTCACTCCCAGGTCTCCCCATGCTGGAAAACCTGCACCCCAGAAATGCAAAACAAGCATCCTGCACACCGCTCGGCCTGTCACTCAATGACTCTGGCCATCCTCTGCAACTTCGGGGAGCCTCCCAGTCCTTCTGACCCTCTCCCCCTCCCCTGTCTTCACTGCATCCATGAGCTGCTGTGGCCACTGGGTCTATGGCTTCACCTCTTGGACCGTCTCTCTCACCCCATTATCGTGTGACCCCAAAGAGTGGATCAGCACAACAGGCTCCCCTCTCCCACTCACTATCGAACACGTGCCTCTCCGGGGACCACTCTTGGTGTCCAGCCAACTGGCACCCACAAACCTAGGTTCGATGACCCTTCTGTATATTATGCCCACAGCACTTTAAAATAACACATATTCCAGTTACTATCTCTCTACTTTGGATTCTGCATTGCTCCTTAGCCTACCTGACTCCCAGAGGGTAAGGTGGGGCCTTTCACTTTGGTATCCACATGGCCTAGGACTAGACTTGGTACACGGTGGTACACCAAACATTTTTTTAATCAAGAAATACAGCCAAACGTGTGCTTGAGAAGTTATACAAAATGGCAGACAACTGAAAAAGCAAATTCTCTTGTGAATAGCTACCATTAACAAAATGAGATGCCAAGTGACACCAAAGAAAACGTAAGAAATGACACTTTGAGACACTGATGTATGTAGAATTTTGAAAGCTGCCTGGCAAAATATGTCATCATATAAATGTGAGCTATAAATTCACAAACAATAATTTAAAAAAATATATATTAACAGGGAAAAAGAGCAAAATCATTTTGACTTCAGATTTTTTTCCTTTGGTATTTGAAGAATAAACATTAGCCCAAAAAGTAAGTGATTTTAAGCCGTCTAGAATTCAGTTAAGACAATCTGTTATAAAATCCTAATTAATGGGGTGAAGAGGAGAAATAAAAAGTTAGAACTAATTGCCCCCTAAGTCCAGACACCAAAATAAGTTAGAACTGATTGCCCCCTTACATCTAGAAAACAAAGACCATTTATATTTCAGGCAAAAGGTAACAAATACCTTGTAAGATACCATAAATCCAGAAGAAACTACCTAAGCAACTAAAATAAAGGCACTTCCTTTCCAAATTTAGGTTCACAGACAAACTGGAGCTTCTTAAACGCAACACAGGCATGTTCTACCCTCTAGTCTATAAAAACAAAAAGGAAAAAAAAAAAAAGACTAAAATCAACATTGCTTTTCAGAATAGAAATGTTTTACCTGCATGAGTTTGGTGTCGTGTCCAGTATAAACAACTATGCCAAAGACCCACTGAGTATTTCTAAGCTGCGTACCTCTTAACAAGATCTGGTCAGGCCCAAGGGAAACAGAGCTAAAAATAAGAAACAACATTTATATTTAATGACAGTCTGACAAATGAGCATGAGCGTGCCCCTTACACATAAACCCACAATAAATCAAATGTTTCCTTTAGTAGAATTTGAACTATTCCACTGAGAAACGGGAGCAACAAAGGTTACCCTTGGCTTAATCTACCAAAGGAGACCAACAAAAACGGTTTATTTTATTCATTCATCGATACAGAAAAAAATGTTTCCCCCCCCCCAATAAAATGTTAGAGGGAATTATGCCTCTCATAATCCTGTTATGAAACTCAACACCCAGAAGGGAGTTGCTAAAATAACAACCAGAAGCTTACTCGTTTGGGAAACTCAGTTTATTTTATAGACTATTATAAGAAAAATAAAGAAAGAAGAAGCAGCAGTTAACCTATCACATCAAATTTGTCAAGGATGGCTTAATGACTAAACAGAGGCCTGCGTGATAATTTAGAAATTCAGAATGGGGAGCCTCCACAACAGCTATGCGTGCCACAGGAAGCCAAGGAGTAGTCACACGTAGTCGTCATATTTATTTGGGGTTGATTCCCACGGCCAGGTCCTTGCAAGCCGTGGGCCTGTTCAGAACACAAGGGACAGCCCGACAGGCCCTGGGGGCACTGGTCAGAGGCACGCAGACCGGAGGAGGCCAGGAGATAGACACTGCACCCCGACATCATGACCACGTCGACTCAAACGACACAGCAAGCACCCAGAGGACAAAGACAACAGGGCACTGAACATTCTAGAGGAAGAGTCACCCATCCATTTCATTGAACTTTCTAAGAAACAAATGTTCCTTAGGAGAATGCCAGGGGGAAAAAGTATACAGTTCTCTAGCATGCAAACTAGCTTCTGTACGCCTCAGACACCTCTCTTCTGCTTTTCTGCACCATTTTATGCAGCTAAAACCATTTCTCCTGCCTGGCAGGGAACAGGAACAGGAAGAATAAATCACATGTTCTGACCCTTACGCGAGGCCCTTGGGCTCTTTGCTTGTCAAAAATCAGTTCTTTCCTTACATGTAAGGGAAATTTTAAGTTGACTGAAATGGCGTGAAATCTCACTGTTTCAAAATGTTATGAAACTAGAAAACATTTTCCAAAGCTCTAGTAAATTCTTAGCCACACTTAAAAAAAAAAAAAAAAAACACTAAGAAAAGGAAAATACTACCTTTTCCCATCTAGGTGCAAGTTTCCAGTGAAGTCATAGAGGTGGCGATTGGGCCCTTCGCATTCTACGGTTCCAGATAACCTCATCAGCACCTCTCGCGTCTGCATTTCAGCGGTGTGACTCAAGGCCTAGAACGTGAAGCCAAAAGAGGAAATCGAACACAATCTTTCCGTGTTCAGGGACAATTCGGCGTTCCCACCATAATCAAAAGGAAACAATGAGCCATCCACAGTGCAGTAACTGTGCAGGGCTCACAAATCAAACTGTCAGTCCCGCGGAGTCGACTTTACCTGTGGTTTTTGCCACAAGAACCTAATGCAAAAGTGGCAAAAGAATTTAGTGAAGTAGAAAGTCAAGATTCCACCACTGTGCTGGAAACATCAGTGTGCAAGTAATAATTAACACACCAAAACACCTTACTGAAAGCATAATCTATTAGCTATACTCTGAAGCTGGTCATAAAAATAGAATGAAGTGTCCCTTTAATATTTTAACACTATCTAGCACTCCACTAACTCCTTTAAACAGAAAAAATAATGTCTAAAGGAAATATCTATAATAGAAAAGAAAGATATGTGGACAGAATTACTGAATTCAACTTTATGTAGCAAAAAAAAAAAAATGTTTTTTGAGACAGAGTCTTGCTCTGTTGCCCGGGCTAGAGTGCTGTGGCGTCAGCCTAGCTCACAGCAACCTCAAACTCCTGGGCTCAAGCGATCCTGCTGCCTCGGCCTCCTGAGTAGCTGGGACTACAGGCATGCGCCACCTTGCCCGGCTAATTTTTTTTCTATATATTTTTAGTTGTCCAGCTAAATTTCTTTCTATCTTTAGTAGAGACGGGGTCTAGCTCTTGCTCAGGCGGGTCTCAAACTCCTGACCCTGAGCAATCCTCCCGCCTCGGCCTCCCAGAGTGCTAGGATTACAGGCGTGAGCCACCGCGCCCGGCCTATGTAGCAAAAATTTTTTTAAGTGTCAAAATGCTTAAAATTTTTATTGTTCATTCTGGAATTAAAATATATGGTAAGAATAGCTTCTTTATTTAAGGCATGAAAAATTTTACGTCTAGTAGACCACTCTCAAGAATTAGGCTCTCCATTACAACAATGATGTAAACTGAGGTACGTGGACCCTGTCCTCTGTGTTCATCCACACTAGAGTTGGGGTCCTTCGCACCCAGTCAGCCTCGCCGGGATGTCCCCTCTCTGCAGAATCACAGGCAGAGAGCGCAGGAAGATGCTAATGAAGGAGTCACACCCTTCATCACCAAGAGCTTGATGAAGGCCAATTCTCCTTGCTCTCTTTATGCATGTCCCTCCCCCATCGTAAAAGGCAAATTCCTCCCGTTCAGGTTAAGTCATGACCTTTTGTGGCTGAACATTTCTTTTTTCTTTGTCTGGGAAAAGACAGGTGGGACCATATGTGGAATGGGGGCCTCCATAACAACACATGTCATAAAGGGTGACTTTACCTGCCGTATTTTAAGGTTCGTCTCCCCATCTAGATTA